TTCGATGCCATTTTGATTTCTTTACACTTCTCAGGGGCAGTTATCATGGACACCGACATGATGCCTGGCCAATGAACACTTGGTCAGTTCTTCTGAGCCACAAAAGGCCCCCAAAAGTCGCTGGAGCTGGTGGTGGCTTAGCATCCACGTGCGCCCCCTGCTGGTGATGACTGCAGGGAGCGGTAACGCATTTCCTCTGGCCCCACGTGGGCGTGGTGGATGGAATTCCGAAGCCTGAAAGGAGCCTGTTTGCTCAGGCAGGTCCACTGGATGGGTCAACTGGGGAGTTCCACCCTAACAGACGGTCTGGCGCGTCGTTCCAAGTGGCGTGGCTCCTGGCTTCCCGCAGGGGTCGAGGATTTTTAAGGTCATCAGCTCCCACTGCCTCAGCCTGTCGTGGTGTCAAACAGTCCTGCCCTCTTGAATGTGCCTTGGATCGATGATGAGTCCCTAAAAACATTCCTTGGAAAAAGCTGAACAAAATGAGTGAGAACTCATACCGTCGTTCCATTCGGATTGAGTTTCCAGTCACGTATTGCCTCCCCCGGGGACTGTAGGAGTTAGGGACAACTTCCACTGGTTCCCATAGGTTCCACCACCCAGGGCGTCCACGGATGAAAGTCTCACATCACAGGCACAATAGGAACATTCCGTCTGTGTGAGGAACACGAGTAGGATAGTCATGGGGGAATCGGCTGCTCTGTGATGTCATGGTGACTGTAGAAGTGGGTAGAATTGCAGACCTAGGATCATGTGCAACTGATCTTGGCTTGGTGAGCTCCCAGGAAGGGAGACCCTGACCTCCCGATGGGCGTCTCTACGCAGAGGACTGGGTCTTTGTTTTTACGCCAAGGAGAGCAAAAGGCCCAGACCTCAGACAGACCTTGGTCTCGATTTTCAGTTATCTGAGGAGAGGGGAGTGCCAAAGTGATGGGGGACAATGGAGAGCAATGGGTGTTGTGGCAGACAGCCAAAGACTCTTTGGCCCTCCCCCGAGTGCTGGTTACAGGGACCCCCCGGCAGGGATTTCTTTGCCTCCTGAGCCATGAGTTGCCCATGGTGTGGTGGCTGAGCCTGGGCAGGACAGTACCTCAGAGCAAAGGTGGTAGAGGGCTCACATGGACATGTGTGTCATCAGTGTTCTTGGGCTGTCATTTGGCAGTGATGGGCTTTCCATGGATTTCTCTTGTGGATGATAGGTCAGCCCGTGGTGTTTTCAAGGGCAGATCCAAGGAGCATGAGGGTCGAGCTGTATCCCGTTGCCCTAGGTCACTTCCGGTCTTCTTGGGAGAGTAGAGGGCTCCACCGTTGTGTGCATCTTCCTGGAAATGGTCTCTTGGCCCACCATTGCCGTGCAGCCCTACACGCTGCAGCTCATGTGATGAAATAACTGCTGTGGATCTTACTTCCCACTTTGAAAGCAACTTCCATCCCGAAGACTTTCAGAGGGAACATGCCCGGACCCTGGCCCTTGCTCGGAACTCTCCTGTGGGATTCCGTCACACTTGGAGCTGTCCATGGAGGTCCATGTGCATTCCAAACAATACGTATTTAATCCCAGGTGCCTTCCATGGAGGGTCCCTTGACTTGAGATGCTTCCACTCCTCTGCACGTTGGTGATACTCAAGTGTTCAATTTAGCTATGCCCTAGGCGTGATGAAGTGTTTCAACCCCATTAGTCTCAGCGCAGCCAGAACAGTCATGCCATGTTGAAGGGCATGCCAATGGCTTAGGAAAGTTGGGAAGGATTGGTCATTCTGTGGCTTGCAGCTCACTTAGTAGCCACGTGCATATAGACTTGGTGGTGGTTGTCAGACGGTGTTGACTAGCAGATGTTGGGGAGGATGGTACTGCATCCAAGGTGGCTACGTGGTGGGATGTTGCCTTGGAGGTCGGTGCAAGGAAGGCCTTTGAGTGTGATCAATGCAAGGATGATGGAAGGCCATGTGTCCTGTCTGCCTGGTCCTTGGCGCGTTAGGCAGGGACGTCCTGTGGGAAAAGCAGCCATTCCCTTCAGGTGTCCTGAGGGGCATGATGCAGCTACATTGACTGAGTGAAGGAGAGGAAGCCCATGTCTTGAGGTCGTTTGCCTAGATTGGGCAGACTGCCTCTGGCCTTGATGCCGAGTTTCAGAGTCACGTCCTGGCCGTTGCAAAGGCATGCTCCAGTGCTGGTTGTGATTGGTTTTGTGCCAGGTGCACCTTTCCTGGGAGCGCTACCAGAGATGGTGTCTGGTCAGGACATCAGATGCCCTGTGAGGAGGAGCTTGTGCTCAGGCTAGGGATGGTGGCTGTTATGTGAGGGACCTTGGGCCTATGTCTGCATGGCCCAAGGTCAGAGTTTACATCCTGTTGATTGAAGGTCTTGGTCTTGAGTTGTCCGATTGATGGGGGCTCAGGCCTGGAGGTCACAGACTCTGACTGCATGTTGCCATGTTGGTAAACTCGTGTTGGAAAACACATGTGCGTGAGGGAGACACACACACACACACACACACATATGCATGCACATAGCCACTGAGCAATGGGTGTGTGTGTGGTCATTCTGGCGCCACACGCAGCTCCGAAGTGTTTGCTTGCAGAGTGCCACTAGTAAGGTACAATCATGGAAACAGAGGTCACTCATGGAGGCCAACAGAAGGAAGACGTGCAAGTTGCCACGCATGAACGAATGGCACTGAAGTTTTGACCAGTGGAACTGGGCCTGTTTCTCAAGTGTGTATTTGATTTGTTTACGCTTCTCAGGGGCAGTTGCCATGGGAGGCCCGCCGCCTGCTGAAAGGAAGATGGTCAATTCTTTTGAGCCACAAAGGCCCTGCAGAGTCCTGGAGTCAGTGTGGCCTGGCTTCCTGGGTGCACCTTGTGCTGGTGGATTGCTCAGGATGGTAAGCATTTCTCTGCCCCATGTGCTGAGTGAGGGTGTCTTTTGGATTTCCAAGACCCACCATGAGCTGTTTCTCACAAGGCCACTAATGGCATGGTGTCAAACATCCTGCCTCTTCAAATGTGCTTGGATCGATGATGAGTCCCCCATAAAAACATTCCTTGACAAAGCTGAACAAAATGAGTGAGAACTCATACCGTCGTTCTCATCGGAACTGAGGTCCAGCACTTGCCTCTAGCAGAGACTATTGGAGTGAGGGACAGCTTCCACTGGTCCCTGTAGGTTCCACCACCCAGGCCGTCTGCAAGTAAATGTCTCCCATTACACACACATTAGGAACATTCCCTTTGTGTGAGGTACACGATTAGGAGAGTTGTGGAGGGACTGGCTGCTGTGTGATGGCGTGGCGGCTGTGGAAGCGGACAGAAAAATCGCAGGCCTAGAGGAGCGTGTGGCAGACCTGGGCCTGGTGAGCTGCCAGGAGGGGAGACCTGGACCTTGTGTCAGCCATCCTCACACACAGGAGAGGGTCCTGGTCCCCCTACTATGGAGAGCATGAGGTCGTAGCCTTAGGCAGACTTTGATCTTGCTTTTCAGTTAGCTGAGGACAGGGGAGTGCCGAGGGTGATGGGGGAGAGTGCAGAGCAATGGGTGTTGCAGCAGATGGCCAAAGCCTCTTTGACCCTCCCCCCAGCATTGGTCTCAGGGTCACCCCAGCATGGATTTCTTTGCCTCCTGAACTGTGAGATGCTGGTGGTGGTGTAGAGACCTGGGTAGGACGTATTCTCTGGTATTCCAGAGAAAAGGTGGTAGGGGGGCTCACGTGGACAGGTGTGTGTCATCAGTGGTCTTGGGCTGTCTGTGTGCTGGACTTTTGGTGTATTTCTCTGATGGATGACAGATTGGGCAGCAGGGGTCGTCAAGGAAAGTTCCCAGGTGTGTGAGGTTTGGGCTGCTGCCTGTGGCCCTGGGTCACTCCGATCTTCCTGGCAGAGTTATGGGCTCCACCGTTGTGTACATCTTCCTGGAAATGGTCTCTTGGCCTGCCATTGCCAGGCGCCCCACTTGCTGCAGCTCGTGTGAGTAAATGCTGCTCTTAATCCTTTTTTTCACTTTGAGAGCAGCATCCGTCGCAAAGGCATCCAGAGGGAATGTGCCCTGGCCCAGGCTGAGTACCGTCCTGTGGTCTCCAGTCACGTGTGGGCCTGTCCATGGAGGTCTGTGTCCATTCTGGGTGTTGCCGCTGAAAGTCTCTTGACTTTGGATGTCTCCATGCCTCTGCATGTTGACGATGTTCCAGTGTTGGATTCCGCTATGCCCTATGCATGATGAAGCATTTTAGCTCCCATAACCAGTTTGAATTCACAGTGCAGCCATGACAGCCATGCTACTTTCAAGGGCACATGGTTGGCTTAGGAAAGTTGGAATGGATTGGTGCTTCTACAGCTCACAGCTCACTTAGTAGCTGCATGCATGTGGACCGGGTGGTGTTGATACAGTGTTGACTTGCCAGTGTTGGGGTGGGTAGTAGTGCGGTCAGATTGGCTGCATGATGGGTCATTGCTTCTGAGGTCAGTGCAGGGATGCCCTGTGGGCGTGTCCAGTGCAAGAATGATGACAGGCGGTGTGTCCTGTCAACCTGGTCCTTGCGGTTCAGGTAGGGACGTCCTGTTGGAAAAGCAGCCATTTTCTTTGGGTGTCCTGAGGGCACAGTGTGGGCACATGGACTGAGTGGAGGGGAGGAGGCGTGTATCTTGAGGGCCTGTGGCTGGGTTGCTAGTCTTGCCTCTGGCCTTAATGCTGAGTTTCAGACCAATGTGCTGGACTTTGCAAAGGTCCCTCTGGAGATGGTTGTGGTTGGTTTTGCACCAGGTTGCACCCCACCTAAGAGAGTGGTCAGAGACAGTGTCTTGTGATGACATCAGCATTCCCATGAGGAAGAGGAGTAGCCTGTGCTCCTGCCAGAGGTGGTGGCTGCTAGGTGAGGGACCTGTGACCTGTTTCCACATGGCCCCAAGGTCAAAGTTCACATCCCACTGATTGAAGGCCTGGGTCTTGAGCCATCAGGTTGCTGGGTGGATCAGGTCTGGAGGCTGCAAACTATAACTGCCCATTGTGGTGTTGGCACCCACAGGTGCATTAGGGAGACAAACATACACCCATTTCAACTAACATTCTCACACATACACACACACACACTCTCTCATACACTCACACTCATACTCACACTCTATCCCACACACACACACAGGCACAGACAGTCATAGGCTAATAGATGCAGCAGTGTGCACGTGCAGTGGTTCTGGCCGCACATGCTTTTAGGTGTCCACAGAGTGACACAGGTAAGGTATATTCATGGAGATGGAGGTCAGCCGTGGAGGCCAAGGAGAAGCAGGTGTGTGAGTTGCTCTGTGGGAAAGAATGGCATTGAAGTGTCCAGTGAACCTGGGCCTGTTTCTCAAGCATGCATTTGATTTGTTTACACTTCTCAGGGACAGTTGCCATGGGAGGTCCGCTGCCTGCTGTCAGGGAAGATGGTCGATGCTTCTGAGCAACATAGGCCCACGTGGATTCCGTGTGGCCTGGCATCCACTGTGCACCCCACGCTGGCAGGTGGCTCAGGACGGTAAGCATTTTTCTGCCCCGTGTGATGAGAGACGGTGGCTTTAGAATTTCCGAGACCTGCAAGGAACAGTTTCTCAGCAGGCCATTAATAGCATGGCGAGTTCCACTCCCAGAGTGGATGGTCTGTGCCGGTTGGTCAGTGGTGCAGCTCTGGCTTCCCCAGGGGGCCGAAGTTCTTTAATGTCATCGGCTCTCCCACTGCCCAGCCTGTGGTGTCAAACATCCTGCCTTTTCAAACGTGCTTGGATCGATGATGAGTCCCCCAAAAAAACATTCCTTGGAAAAGCTGAACAAAATGAGTGAGAACTCATACCGTCGTTCTCATCGGATCTGAGGTCCAGCACGTTGCCTCCCCCGGGGACTGTAGGAGCGAGGGACAACTTCCACTGGTTCCCATAGGTTCCACCACCCAGGGCGTCCACGGATGAAAGTCTCACGTCACAGGCACAATAGGAACATTCCGTCTGTGTGAGGTACATGAGTGGGAGATTCGTGGGGGCACTGGCTGCTCTGTGATGGCGCAGCGGCCATGGAAGAGGGGAGAAATGTCGCGATCCTAGGGGAGTGTGCGGCTGACCTCAGCCTGGTGAGCTTTCAGGAAGGGAGGCCTGGACCTTATGGCTGGAGTCTCCGTGCAGAGGGCAAGGTCTCAGTTTTGCTACCAAGGAGAGCACAAGGCCTGGGCCTCGGGCAGACCTTGTTCTTGATTTCTGGTTAGCTGAGGACAGGGGAGTGCCAAGGGCAGTGATGGAGAATGCATAGCAATGGGTGCCACGGGAGACAGCCAGTGGCTCTTCAGCTCTTCCACCAGTGTTGGTCACAGTGTCCCCCCAGCACATATTTCTTTGCTTCCCGAGCCATGAGACATGTGTGCTTTGGTGGTGAAGGTGTAGACCGGATGGTATCCAAGAGAAAACGTGCTAGAGGGCTCTCATGGATGTGAGTGTCATCAGCTTCATTGGGTTTTAATTTGGCAGTGATGAGCTTTCCATGGATTTCTCTGGTGGACGACAGGTTAGCCAGGGCAGGTCTTTGAGGGCATGTCTCTGGGCAAATGAGTGTCAGGATGGTGTCCATGGCCCTCGGTCACTTCTGGTCTTCCCAGCCAAGTAGTGGGCTCCACCGTTGTGCACATCTTCCTGGAAATGGTCTGTTGGCCTGCATTGTCGGGCGGCCCCACCTGCTGCTGCTCTTGTGAGCAAATACTGCTCTGTATCTTTCCTGCTTTCCATCCCAAATATGTCCAGAGCGAATGTGCCCTGGCCCTGGCCCTGGACTCTCATGTGAGCCCCAGTCATGCATGGGGCTGTCCATGGTCTGTGTGCATACCGAGCAGTGCATTTGCAATCCCAGGGGCATTGCCACAACGAGTCTCTTGACTTGGCATGTCTCCATACATGCTGGTGATGTTCTAGTGTTGGACTCCGCTGCTCCCTAGGCGTGATGAAGCATTTCAGCTCCCGTAGCTGGTTTGAAGTCACAGAGCAGGCAGGACAGCCATGCCACTTTCAAGGGCACACAGTTGGCACAGGAAAATTGGAAAGAATTGGTTGTTGTACATCTTGCAGCTCACTTAGTAGCTGCATGCACGTAGACCTGATGCTGTTGATGCAGTGTTGACTTGCTGGCGTTGGGGTGGGTGGTACTGTGACACTGGCTGCATGATGCGATGTTGTCTCAGAGGTCAGTGCAGGGAAACTCTGTGGGAGTATCCAATGCAACGACAGTGTTACAGGCGGTGTGTCCTGTCTGCCTGGTCCTTGGGGAGTCAGGTGCAGACGTCCTTTTGGAAATGCAGCCATTCTCTTTGGGTGTCCAGAGGGCATGGTGTGGGCACATGGGTTGAGTGGAGGAAAGGAAGTGTGTGTCTTGAGGTCCTTTGGCTAGGCTGGGAAGACTACCTCTGGCCTTGATGCTGTGTTTCAGAGCCATGTGCTGGCCATTGCAAAGGCGCCCTCCAGTGCTGGTTGTAGTTGGTTTTCCATCAGGTGCACCTCACCTGGTAAAGGGGCCAGAGACAGTGTCTGGTCATGACATGAGATGCTTTGTGAGGAGGAAAGTGTGTTCATGCCCAGGGTAGTGGCTGTTAGGCAAGGGACCTTGGACCTCTTTCCTCATGGCCTTGAGGTCAAAGTTCACATGCTATTGATTGAAGGCCTGGGTCTTGAGCCTTTGGTTTTGTGGGGTTGGTTCCGGTCTGGAGGCTGCAGACTGTGACTGCCTGCTGGGGTGGTGAGAAACACATGTGCATGAGGGGGACACATCCACACAGAGACACTCACACTCATGCACACTCATGTGCACAGCCACAAATAGATGCGGCAATGGGCGTGTGCAGTTGTTAGGCCACAGACACTTGTAGGTGTCCATGGAGTGACACAGGTAAGGTGTGAATGGGTCTTTGAGGGCATGTCTCTGGGCAAGTGAGTGTCAGGATGGTGTCCATGGCCCTGGGTCACCTCTGGTCTTCCCAGCAGAGTAGTGGTATGAATATGGAGATGGAGGTCAGTCCTAGGGTCCAAGGAGAAGCAGAGATACGAGTTGCCCCATGGGAAAGAATGACATTGACATGGTGACCAGTGGACATGGGCCTGTTTCTCAAACATGCATTTGATGTCTTTACACTTCTCAGGAGCAGTTGCCTTGAGATGCCCACTGCCTGCTGGCACAGCAGATGGTCAATTCTTCTGAGCAATGGAGTCCCCACTGAGTCATGGAGTCGGTGTGGCCTGGCATCCACGGTGCACCCCGTGCTGGTGGATGGCTCAGGACGGTAAGCATTCCTCTGTCCCGCGTGCTGCGTGAGGGTGTCTTTAGGATTTCTGAGACCCACAGGGAGCAGTTCTTCAGGCCATTAAGGGCATGGCCGAGGCCTTTAAGGTTATCAGCTCGTGCACTGCCCAGCCTGTGGTGTCAAATGTCCTACCTCTTCAAATGTGCTTGGATCGATGATGAGTCCTCCAAAAAAACATTCCTTGGAAAAGCTGAACAAAATGAGTGAGAACTCATACCGTCGTTCTCATCGGAACTGAGGTCCAGCACATTGCTTCCTCTGGGGCCTGTAGTAGTGAGGCACGACTTCTACTAGTCCCTACAGCTTCCACCACCCACGGCGTTCACAGATGACAGTCTTCTGTCATATGCACATTAGGTACATTCCCTCTGTGTGAGGTACACAGGTCAGAGAGTCATAGGGTGATTGGCTGCTCTGTGATGGAGTAGTGGCCATGGCAGTGGACGGAAATGTCTCAGGCTTAGGGGAATGTGGGGCTGGCCTTGACCTGGTGAGCTCCCAGGAAGGGAGACCTGGAAATCGCTGCGGGCTTCCTTGCGTAGAGGAACAGGTACATGTTCCAGTTCTCCTTTCAGGGAGACCACGAGGCCCAGAACTCAGGCAGTCCTTGGTCTTGATCTTTGGTTAGCTGAGGACAGGGATGTGCCAAGGGTGATAGGGGAGGGCGCACAGCAATGGATGTTGCAGCAGACAGCCAAGTCCTCTTTGTCCCTCCTTTCAGGGTCGATTGCAGGGGCCCCCCAGCACAGATTTTTTCACCTCTCGAGCTGTGAGATTCTTGTGGTGTGGTGGCCAAGCCTGGGCAGGAGGCTGGTACCCCAGAGAAAAGGTGTAGAGGGCTCACATGGACACGCATGCCATCAGTGGTCTTGAGCTGTCATTCGGTGGTGATGGGCTGTCTTCGTGGATTTCTCTGGTGGATGACAGATTGGCCAGTGGGAGTCTTCGAGGGCAGGTCCTAGGGAGCATGAGAGTCAGGCTGATGCCTGTGGTCCTGGGTCACTCCAGTCTTCCTGGCAGAGTAGCAGAAGCGCACATGTTCCTGGAAATGGTGTCTTGGCCCGCCATTGCCAGGTGGCCCCACCTGCTGCAGCTCATGTGAGCAAATACTGCTCTGGATCCCATTTCCCGCTTTGAAAGCAGCCTCTATCCTGAAGGCATCCAGATGGAATGTGCCCTGGCCCTGGCCTGGGACTCTCCAATGGGGTCCAGTCACCGTTGGCATATTCGTGGAGTTCCATGTGCATTTCAGGCAATGCATGTGCTCTACCAGGGGCACTGCCTTGGAGAGTCTCTTGACTTGGGATGCCTCTTCACCTTTGTGTGTTGGTGATGTTCCAGTATTGGATTCTGCTACATCCTCAGGGCAGTGAAGCGTTTCAGCTCACTTAGCCAGTTTGACATCACAGTGCAGCCAGGACAGCCGTGCCACTTTGGCATGGCACATAGTTGGCTTAGGACAGTCGGAAAGGGTTGGTGGTTCTATTCTTGCAGCTCACTTTATAGCTGTGTGCGTGTAAACCTGGTGATGGTGTTGAGGTGGTGTTAACTTGCTGACGCTGGGGTGGGTGGTAGTGCTTTTAAGTTGACTGCATTGTGGGATGTTGGCTCAGAGATTGGTGCAGGGAAGCCCTGTAGGCGTGTCCAATGCAAGGAAAATGAAAGATGGTGTCCTGTCCACCTTGTCTTCAGGGGTTCAGGTGGGAATGTCCTGTTGGAAAAGTAACCATTCCCTTCGTGTGTCCTGAGGGCATGGTGTGGGCATGTGAATTGATTGGAGGGAGGAAGTGTGTGTTTTGAGGTCCTTTGGTTGGGTTCAGAAGACTGTCTCTGCCCTTGATGCCTTGTCTAAGATCAATGTGCTGGCCATTGCAAAGGTGCCTTCCAGGGCGAGTTTTGGTTGGGTTGGTTCCAGGTGTGCCTTACCTGGGAGGGTGGCCAGAGACATTGTCTGGTCACAACTTTAGATACCCCATGAGGGAGGCGTGTATGCTGGTGCCAGGGGTGGTGGCTGTTAGTCAAGGGACCTCAGGCCAATATCCATCTGACCCCTAAGTCAAAATTCGCATCCTACTGATTGAAGGCCTGTGTCCTGAGCCATTTGGTTGCAGGCGTTGGGATGGTTTCCAGGTCTGGAGGCTGCCGCCTATGACCACATGTTGTGCTGTTGGGAAACACGTGTGTGAGGGAGGCACATACACACAGACACACTCACTCTGACACACCTACACATGTCTACACATGCACAGGCGTGCACAGCCACAGGCAAACAGATGCACCAATGGGTGTGTGCTATTGTTCTGGTCACGTGTGCTTCCTAGGTGTCCACAGAGTGACGTGGGTCAGGTATATTCATGAAGATGGAAGTCTGTCATGGAGCACAAGTAGACGCCGGCGTGCAAGTTTCCCTGCGGGAAAGAATGGGATTGAAGTGATGACCAGTGAACCTGGGCCCGTTTCTCAAGCATGCATTTGATTTCTTTACACTTCTCAGCAGCAGTTTGTCATGAGAGGTCTACCACTTGCCGGCAAAGAAGATGGTCAATTCTTCTGACCAACGGAGGCTGCCTTGAGTCCTTGATTTGGTGTGGCCTGGCATCTATGGTGCACCCCATGCTGGTGAGTGGCTCAGGATGGTAAGCATTCCTCTGCCCTGTGTGCAGAGGTGTCTTTTGAATTTCTGGTACCTGCAAAGAACTGTTTTTCAGCAGGCTACTAATGGCATGGTGAGTTCCACTCCCAGAGTCGATGGTCTGTGCCCATTGTTCAGTGGTGTGGCTCTGGGTTCCCCAGGAGGCCGAAGGTGTCATCGGCTCACCCACTGCCCAGCCTGTGATGTCAAACGTCCTGCCCCTTCGAATGTGCTTGGATCGATGATGAGTCCCCTATAAAAACATTCCTTGGAAAAGCTGAACAAAATGAGTGAGAACTCATACCGTCGTTCTCATCGGAACTGAGGTCCAGCACGTTGCCTCCCCCGGGGACTGTAGGAGCGAGAGACAACTTCCACTGGTTCCCATAGGTTCCACCACCCAGGGCATTTACAGACGAAAGTCTCCTGTCACATGCATGTTGGGACATTCCCTCTGTGTGACATAAATGGATGGGACAATTGTGGGGGGATCAGCCCCTCTGTGATGTGGCAGCCATGGAACCAGGTGGAAATGTTTTGACCTAGGGGAGTGTGTGGCTGGTCTTGGCCTGGTGAGCTCCCAGGAAGGGAGACTCGGACCTTGCAGTGGGTATCTTTGCGCAGAGGACCGGGTCACAGGTCCCCTGCCAAGGAGAGCGCGAGGTCCAGGCCTCAGGTAGACCTTGGTCTTCATTTTCCATTAGCTGATGACAGGGGAGTTCCAAGGTGATGGAGGAGAGCGCAGAGCAATGGTTGTTGCCGCAGATGGCTAAAGCCTCTTCAGCCCCCTTCCACTGTCAGTCACAGGTGCCCTCTGGCATGGATTTCTTTGCATCCCTAGCCATGAGATGACCGTGGTGCAGTGACCAAGGCTTGGGCAGGACAGTACGCCAGAGAAAAGGTGATGGAGGGCTCATGTGGACCTGTGTGTCTTCAGCTGCATTGGGCTGTTACTTGGTGACGATGGACTTTCCATGGATTTCTCTGGTGGACGACAGGTCAGCCAGGGCGGGTATTTGAGGGCATGTCTCTGGGCAAATGAGTGTCAGGATGGTGTCTGTGGCCCTGGGTCACTTCTGGTCTTCTCAGCAGAGTAGTGGGCTCCACCGTTGTGCACATCTTCCTGGAAATGGTCTCTTGGCATGCATTGTCGGGCGGCCCCACCTGCTGCAGCTCATGTGAGCAAACGCTGCTCAGAATCCTCTTTCCTGCTTGGAAAGCAATTTCCATCCTGAAGGCATCCAGAAGGAGTGTGCCGTAGCCTTGGCCCGGGATTCTCCAGTGGTTTCCAGTCGTGTGGGGCTGTCCATGGAGGTCTGTGTTAATTCTGGGCAATGCGTATGCAGTCCCAGGGCATTGCCACAGAGAGTCTCTTGACTTGGGATGCCTCTGCATGTTGGTGATGTTCCAGTGTTGGATTCCACTATGCCCTAGGCATAGCATTTCAGCTCCCTTAACTGGTTTGAAGTCTCAGCATGGCCAGGACAGGGATGTCACACTAAAGGACACACCGTTGGCTTAGGAAAGCTGGAAAGGTTGGTGGTTCTGTGGCTTGCAGCTCACTTAGCAGGAATGTGCATGTAGACCCCGTGGTGTTGAGACAGCATTGATTTGTAGGCATTGTGGTGGGTAGTAGTGCGGTCAAGTTGGCTGTGTGATTAGATGTTGCCTCAGAGGTCAGTGCAGGGAAGCCCTGTAGATGTGTCTGATGCAAGAACAATGACAGGTGTTGTGTCCTGTCAACCTAGTCCTTAGGGAGTCAGGCGGAGATGTCCTGTTGGAAAAGCATCCTCAGGGTGTCCTGAGGGCATGGTGCGGACATGTGGACTGAGTGGAGGAGAGGAAGCCTGTGTCTTGAGGTTCTTCGGCTAGATTGGGAAGACCACCACCTCTGGCCTTGACACTGAGTTTCAAACTGATGTGCTGCACTTTGCAGTGGCGCCCTCCAGCGCTGGTTGTGGTTGGTTTTCTGCCAGCTGCACCTCAATCTGAGAGGGCAGCCAGAGAGTGTCTGGTCATGACATCAGATGCCCCATGAGGAGGAATGTGTGCTCATGCCAGGCTTGGTGGCTGTTAGTCAAGGGACTTTGGGCGTATGTCCGCATGGTCGCGAGGTCAAAGTTCACATCCTACTGATGGAAGGCCTGGGTCTTGATCTTTGGGTTGCAGGGAGGTTCAGGTCTGGAAGCTGCAGACTATGACCGCCCCTTGTGGTGTTCGGAAACACATGTGCTTGAGGGAGACACATATACACACACACTCACTCTCACACACACATACACACATAGACATGCACAGCCACAAGCAAATAGATTCAGCAGTGGGCACATACTGTCCTTTGAGTCACACATGCTTCCTAGGTGTCCACAGAATGACACGCGTCAGGTATATTCATGGTAATGAAGGTCAATCATGGTAATGAAGGTCAGTCAATGAAAAGTAGGTGTGTGAGTTGCCCTGTGAGCAAGAATGGCTTTGAAGAGGTGACCAGTGGTCCTGGACCCGTTTTATAAGCATGCATGTGATATCTTTACACTTCTCAGGGGCAGTTGCCGTGGAAGGCCCGCAGCCTGCTGCAAGGAAGATGGGTGATGCTTACGAGCAACAAAGGCTCCACGGAGTCGTGAAGTCGGTGTGGCCTGGCATCCACGGTGCACCCCGTGCTGGTGGATGGCTCAGGACGGTAAGCATTCCTCTGTCCCGCGTGCTGAGTGAGGGTGTCTTTAGGATTTCTGAGACCCGCAAGGAGCAGTTCTTCAGGCCGTTAAGGTCGTCGGCTCACCCACTGCCCAGCCTGTGGTGTCAAATGTCCTGCCTCTTCAAATGTGCTTGGATCGATGATGAGTCCCCCAAAAAAACATTCCTTGGAAAAGCTGAACAAAATGAGTGAGAACTCATACCGTCGTTCTCATCGGATCTGAGGTCCAGCACATTTGTCTCTGCCGGGGACTGTAGGAGCGAGGGACAACTTCCACTGATTTTCACAGGTTCCACCACCAAGGGCATCCGCAGGCCAAAGTCTCCCATCACACAGGTTAGGAACATTCCCTCAGTGCATTGTAGATGGGTGAGAGAGTTATGGGCGAATCGTCTGCTTTGTTATGGTGTGGCTGCTATGGAAGAGTGCAGAAATTGTGCAGGCCTCGGGGAGTGCACAGCTGGCCTCAGCTTGGTGAGCTCCCAGGAACGGAGACCCAGATCTCGTGGCAGGTGTCACCGAACAGAGGACCAGGTCCTAGTTTTTTTTGCCGAGGAGAGCATGAGGTGCATGCCTCGGGCACATCTTTGTTTTGATTTCCAGTTACCTGAGGACAAGGGAGTTTCAGGGTGGTGGGGAAGAGCACAGAGCAATGGGTGTCCCAGCAGATGGCCAAAGCCTCTTTGGCTCTCCTTCCAGGGTTGGTCACAGGGCCTCCCCGGCAGGGATTTCTTTGCCTCCTGAGCTATGAGATGCTTGTGGTGTGATGGCAGAGGCCTGGGTGGGAAGGTATTCCAGAGAAAACATGGTAGAGGGCTCTCGTGGACGTGTGTGTCATCAGTGGTCTGGGGTTGTCATTTGGCAGTGATGTGCTTTCCATGGATTTCTCTGGTGGATGACAGTTCAGCCAGCAGGGGTCTTGGAGGGCAGGTCACAGAGAGCGTGAAGATCAGGCTGGCACCCGCAGCCCTTGGTCATTTCTAGTCTTCACAGCAGAGTAGTGGGTTCCACTCTTGTGCATATCTTCCTGGAAATAGTTTCTTGGCCCGCCATTGCTGGGTGGCCCCACCTGCTCCAGCTCGTGTGAGCAAATAGTGCTCTGGATTGTCTTTCCTGCTTTGAAAGCAGCTTGTATCCCGAAGACATTGGGAGGGAATGTGCCCTGGCCCTGGCTCTGGCCCGGGCCTCTGCCGTGGGCTGTAGTCACACTTGGGGCTGTTCATGGAGGTCTCTGTGTATTCCAGATTCCAGGCAACATATGTGCAATCCCAGGGGTGTTGCCACAGAGAACCTTTTGACTTAGGATGCAACCATACCACTCTATGATGGCGATATTCAGGTGTTGGATTCTGCTATGCCCTAGGGGTGACGAAGCTTTTCAGTTTCCATAGCCCGTTTGAAGTCACAGTGCAGCCAGGACTGCCGTGCTACGTTGAAAGGCTGTGGTTGGCTTAGCAAAATTGGAAAGGATTGGTGGTTCTGTAGCTTTTATCTACACCTGGTGGTGGTGTTGAGGTGGTGTTGACTTGCAGGCATTGTTGTGGGTGGGAGTCTGGGTAGGAATGTGGTGGGTGGGAATGCAGTCAAGCTGGCTGCATGATGGAACGTTGCCTCTGAGGTCAGTGCAGGGAAGCCATGTGAGGTAACCAGTGCAAGGACAGTGTCAGGTGGTGTGTCCTGTCCACCTGGCCCTTGGGGCATCAGGCGTGGACGTCCTCTTGGAGAAGCAGCTGTTCTCTTCGGGCATCCTGAGGGCACAGTGTAGGTACGTGGACTGAGCGAAGTGGAGGAAGCCCATGTCTTGAAGTCGTTTGGCTAGGTTGGGAAAACTGTCTCTGACCTTGACGCTGTGTTTCAGTGCAACATTCTGGCCATTGGGAAGGTGCCTTCCAGCTCAGGTTTTGGTTGGTTTTCTGCCAGATATGCCTTACCTGGGAGTGCAGCAAGAGACAGTGTCTGGTCCCAACGTCAGATGCCCTGTGAGGAGTAGCGTGTACTCATGCCAGGGGTGTGGTGGCTGTTACACAAGGGACCTCAGGCCTATTTCCACATGGCTTTGAGGTCAGAGTTCACATCCTACTGATTGAAGGCCTTGGTCTTGAGCCTTTGGTTTGTGGGGGGATCAGGTCTGGAAGCTGCAGACTATAACCACCCATTGCAGTGTTGGGAGATACAAACACACGTGTATATGTGCATAGCCACAGGGAAATACATGCAGCAATGGGCACATGAGGTCATTCCAGCCACACACGCTTCCTATATGTCCAGAATGACACAGGTAAGATACATTAATGGAGATGGAGGTCAATCGTCTAGGCCAAGGAGAAGCAGGCATGCAAGTGTCCCCACAGGTAAGGGTAGGATTGAAGTGGTGACCAGTGGATCTGGGCCCATTTCTCAAGCGTGCATTTGATTTCTTTACACTACTCAGGTGCAGTTTTCATGGGAGGCGTGGCACCTGCTGGAAGGAAGATAGTTGATTTTCCTGAGTAATGAAGGCCACGCAGAGTCCTGGTTTCGGTTATCCACAGTGCACCCCGTGCTCGTGGGTGGCTCAGGACGGTAAGCATTCCTCTGTCCCTCGTGCTTAGTGAGGGTGTCTGGGATTTCCACAATCCACAATGAGTGGTTTTTTAGTAGGCCGCTAATGGCATTGGTGAGTTCCTCTCCTAGAGTGGATGATCTGTACCTTTTGCTCAGTGGCGCAGCTCTGGGTTCCCCAGGGTGCCAAAGGTCTTTAAGGTCATCGGCTCACCCACAACCCAGCCTGTGGTGTCAAACAGGCTCTTTGAATGTGCTTGGATCGATGATGAGTCCCCCATAAAAACATTCCTTGGAAAAGCTGAACAAAATGAGTGAGAACTCATACCGTCGTTCTCATCGGAACTGAGGTCCAGCACGTTGCCTCCACTTGGGCTTATTGTGGTTCACACGTAACTTTGTCATATTACATTATACTTCACCACCCAGGCATTGGCATTCAATTTTTGTGGTCATTTTGACCATAGTAAAATTCTTTATCATAAATATATTTGAGAGTCATACTTGGGTAGCCCATGAATTTTTCTAGTGTTACTCTGTCAAGTTGGTTTCACCCTTAATGCTACATTTTGCATTTTTGTTTTGTGATTGATTTTTAGCCAGATTCTGGTCACAAATATGTGAAGCCGTAGACTAGCGGATTTCATAAGTACCACAGGAGTCTAGATGACATGGCCTTCCTGACCTGTGAACCTGTCTTTCTGAAGCACATTCATTTCTTCTGCACCTTCCCAGTGTCATTGGCATGGAAGGAAGGCCCTTGTCCAAGAAAGATTGTCTTCGTCTTGTGTGATCTTTGAGATGCCATGAGGACCCTGGATACACATGGTGTGGGTTCCTTTGGAGGCTTTTGGATTTCTCCTGAATGTAAGTGATTTCTTCTGAAAGCATTCAGATTTTCCTCACTTGCAGGAACAAAGACTGTGTGTAGATTGATGATGCTTCCATATATACTTTTTTTTTGGAAAGGTGAACAAAATGAGCGAAAACTCAGTACCATCATCCTCATCAAACTGAAGTCCAGCACGCTTCTCCATCAGGGCCTAGATTTAGGGGGCCAACATCTGTTTGTTGTCATAGTCTGCACCAGAGCTTAGGATGTAGTTGACTTTCAGTGAAGTTGAGTAGTTGAGTATTTTGTACTCCCCTGGCTGAGAGATATGTTTGCTGAAGGACTTCTCTGTGAGAAGGTGGGGTAGCATCCTGTCAGTGTGCAGGAGAAGGGAAACTTGCAGGTGCCAGAGGAGGGCAGTATCCAGTTGCCCACCTCTGCATGGCTGGGTCTGTCCTTGATTCATACCTCTTGGGTTCATCACCACCCAGAGGAGACAGCACGGTGCCATTCCTGAGCACTTCTTCAGCTCTCTTTTATCTGCGGTCGGGGACATGGGACTTCCTATGGTGTTTGGGTAGCATCAAGGAGTGGCCATCTTAAAGCCAGTGGTGATGCTGATTTGCTCTCTGGAAAGGAGCCTGGAGAAGCTCTCCACAGTGAACTTGTACATCTATGAGAAGAATTCCAAATTCCATGGCCCAAGAAGGGTAGTGGCTGTGGGAAAGGGAGAGGCCTGTGCATGCCTTTACCTGGCATCATTCCATGTGGGTCATGGAGTGATGACTGTGAGGCTCTTTTGGACATTGCAGGGTGCCCACCGTCCATTTCATGGTGTCCTCAGGATGGTTTGCTTGGGAGAGCCTGATGTCATTTGCCTCTGAACCACTCAGACATCTTGATGCATTGGGGGCTTATAAGAGTGTGTCCTTCCCCATGTCGTGGTGACTTCTACTCGGAAGTGTGACCTGTCAAGGTCTCTTTACTTATATACCTCAGTGTCTCCTGATATTAGGGTGTTTTAAAATTCCTCCTAATTCTTCACAGCAGTCTTTGTGAAGTAGTTATTGTGTGGTAGGACAGCGCTACCATCCACAGGCCAATGATGGATAGGTTTTGTACTCTGATGTTATGTTCACAAGCAAGTGCCTTAAGATCTGGTTTTCTTAGCTGCAGCACCTTAGAAGTCGTGTAGGATTCAGAATGCCTGGTGCTTCTCTGGGTCCCTGAGCTGTACCTGTGTAGTGCACATAGAGGTTGATTTGTGATTTTTACACGTGTCTGGATCGGAAGAGTGTGAAGGACTCCAGACGTGACAATGCCTCAAGGCCAAAGAAAAGTTGACCTTTGCATAGGAAGAGGTTTCCCCTCCAAACTCTCCCCACTGAAGTATCACCATGGCCTTTGTCTTGTCTGATGGCCCAGAGAAGGGTTTTTGAGTTGGAGTTGTTACGAGTGGTGTTGAGAGTGTTCTTCATGCTTAGTGTTCTCTAGTTGATGGTGCCTTCAAAACTCATGCCAGCCTCCTACCTTCATGTTTGGGCAAACCCATGCTTGTGTGCAGAAAGAGGGGGAGCCCATGAGAGGTAGATACAGATTACTCCACAGCAGGACAAATGACATGACCCTTGCCACCTATGCACCTCACTGCCTTTCTCAAGCACACATGTTTTGCTCCTGCACTTCTTAGGTGGCGTTGGTATGAAAGGAAGGCCAGTGACCACAAGGGACGATCTTGATCTTGGGAGATTTTTGGAGATGGTGAAGTGCCTGTAAACATGTGTGTCATGGTCTCCTTCAGGCTGGTGGACACCTCAGGACGGTAAGTATTGGTTTTTCAAAGGATCCTAATGTTCCATTTTTGCAGGTATGAGGACTGTGCATGGATCAGTGATGACTTCCACACATGCATTCCTTGGAAAGCTAAACAAAATGAGTGAAGACTATACCGTCATCCTCTTCAAACTGAGGTCTAGCACACTGCTTCAACAGGGGCTAGAGACAGAGTTCCACCTCTCACTCATTGACGTGGGTTGCACCAAAGGGTCTGTCCAGGCTTAGGATGGGGTTCTCTTTTGGCAAGGGGTAGCCCCAGGGGAGTGGGAGCTCCCATGGACAGGAGAGTCCTTGTGTGACGGACATCTCTTAGTGAGGCCAGGGTAGCACATACACAGTGTTCAGGACTAGGTGAATGTGCAGGTGGCACAAAGGACTTAGGCTCTGCACCCCCTAGTTTGTCCTTGAGTCTTAGTTTTTGGTTCTCTCATCATCGGGAGGAAGGCAGGTCCTTCTCATTGGGAAGAGAGGAAAAGGCCACATTTTTGCCTCATTTTTATCCCTGTCTACATGCATGGATTTGTGGTCACCTGGATGCTACACACCCAGGCCAAGGTGGCTCTATTGTATCCTGTGTGTTATGAAGACATACAGTTGGCCTCCTGCCCTAAGCTGGGGCTGATAGGCAACAAGTCTCTGGCTTATCTCAAATCTGGTGTAGGTCAAAGGCTTCCTCATTAGGGATGCAGATCCCCGAGGCTTTTGTGATCAACATTACAGGTGTGCACAGGTGTTTAAAGGGACACTTGACATCAGTTCTCTCTAGTGGGATTATGTACTCCATGGGCTCCCAGGATCTAGATGTGCATTCCCGTATCTATGCATTTCTGCGTCCATAAACAGATGAAGCCAGAGACAGGCAGATTGCAGATTACTTCAGGGGGCCAGATGGCTTGTCCCTTATGACCTCTGCACATGTCTGCCTTTCTCAAGCATGCCCATGTTTCATCTGTACCTCCCAGGTGGTGTTGGCATGGAAGGAGGGCCTGTGTCTGCGAGGGATGATCATCCTCTCATGTGATCCTTGGAGATGCCAGGAAGCCCCTTGACACATGTGGCATGGACTCCTTCAGAGGCTTTTGGATCCTTCGTGAATGTAAGCAAGTCCTTCCCAAAGCCCTGATTTTCCTCATTTGCAGAAACAAAGATTGTGCCTGGATCGATGATGACTTCCACATACATTCCTTGGAAAGCTGAACAAAATGAGTGAAAACTTTATGCCGTCATCCTCGTCAAACTGAGGTCCAGCACACTGCTACATTGGAGGGCAGGGAGAGGGGCCAACATCTGTTTGTTGACATGGCCTACACCCTGGCTTCGGATGTGGTCCTCTTTGGGCAAACGCGAGTGTCTGGGCTTTTCTGACTTCTGTAGCTAAGAGACAACTTGGTTGAAGGAATTTCCTCTAAGAGGAAGCTGCAGAACTTGAAGCTGCAGGTGGCACATGAAGCAGTAGCCAATAGCCTCCCTGTGCATGGCTATGTGTGTCCTTGATTCATACCCTTTTGATTCGTCACCTCCCCCCTCACACAGGAATACCATTGCTTTCCTGTGGGGAGAGAGCACATCATTCCTGGACACTTCTTTCACTTACTTTCGTCCTCAGTCGAGGACGTGGGAGTTCCCAAGGTATTTTGGTAGCATCAGGGGCAGGCAGCCATGAGGTGGGTGGTGAGCTGATTTGCTTTCTGCAGGGGAGCCCAGGGACAGTATCCATGTTAAACTCGTATGTCCATAGGAGGAAACCCAAGTTCTGTGGTCCCTGAAGTGTACTGGTGGTGGGAAGGGGAGAGGGCTGTGCATGCATGTACAAACAGCATTCCATGTGGGTGTGAAGCAGTGACTGTGAGCTGCTTTTGGGAGTGGTAGGGTGCTATGGTCCATTTCATGATGACCTTGGGGTGTTGGGATGGGAATGAGATTTCAAGTCCATGCGCTCCTGCCACTTCGCAGATTGACTTGGATTGAGAGGTCTGTGTTCAGGACCCCCTGTGGGATGCTTGTCTGTGTTAGGCATTTGAGCAGATTTCGGCCCAGGGTTTCTACCCTTCCAAGGTTGTACATGCTGCTGGAAGGGCTTGTTGCTCCCTCTCTGTTGATGAGGGGAAGTTTTGCTCAGGAGAGCCTGATGCCATCTGCTTCTGAACTGCTCAGGCACTTCAATGCAGTTGAGGTTGTAAGAGTGTGTCACTTCCCATGTCATGGTAACATCTACTCAGAAAAGTGACCCGTCACGGTCTCTGCACTTAAATTCTCCATTGTCTTGTGAGGTTAGGTTATTTTCAAGTTCCTCCTAATTCTTCACAACAGCCTTCTTTGCAAAATAGTCATCCAGTTGTATGAGGGCTGTCATCCACAGGCCAGTGACAGAGAGCTTTTGTACTCTGTAGCCATGTTCACAGGCGAGTGGCTTAATATATATGGTGTTCTCAGGGACAGCACCGTAGAAGCCCTGTAGGATTCAGCATGTCTGATGCTTTTCCGGGTCTCTGAGCTGCACCTGTGAGGAAGGCCCAGAGATGGAGGTTGATTAGTGATTGTGTTTCTCAATTCTAAGTGTGTGGAAGGAGCCCATGGTAAAAATGCTTCAAGGCCGAAGGAAAGTTGCTCTTTTTGCTGGAACACTTTTTCCCTGCAGCTCTCCCCATTGAAATATCCTCATGACTGTTGTCTTCTCTGATGGTCAAGAAAATGGCTTTTGAGTCAGGAGTGGTGAAAGTGTGGTCTTGAGAGAGTTCCTCATGCTTAGCGTTTTCTAGTTTGATTGTGCTCTTGAAATGCATGCCTGTCTTATACCTTCATGCCTGGATATATCCATGCACACATCCCCAAAGAGAGGTCGCCCATGGGAAGTAGATACAGAATGCAGCATAGCAGGATGAATGGCATGGCCCTTGCAAACTGTGTACCTACCTGCCTTTCTCAAGCACACCTGTTTTTCCTCTGCACTTCCCAGGTGGCATGGGCATGCAAAGACAGACAGAGGCTGCAGGGATGAACTTCATCTTGGGAGGTCTCTGGAGATGGCAGGGAACCCCTGGACACATGTGGCATGGGCTCCTTCGGGTGCTGGTGGATCCCTTTATGTGGTAAGTGTTCATTTCTCAAAAGACCCTAATGTTCTTCCTTTACAGGAATGAATACTGTGCATGCGTCAATGACGACTTCCATACATGCATTCCTTGTATGCAAAGCTGAACAAAATGAGTGGGAACTCTATACTATCATCTTAGCTGAACTGAGGTCCACCGGGGCTAGAGAGGGACAACTCTCTTTTTTTTTTTTTTTTTATTCCTGATGCATGAAGTGTTTGTCCAGGCGTAGGAAGGGATTCTGTTTGGGCGAAGGAGAGTCACAGGGGAGTTGAGGCTATGTGTACTGGACCTCCGTCTACGAGGCTGGGGTAGCACACATGCAGTCTGTGGGACTAGGCAAATGTGCAGGTTGCTCAGGGAGAGTTAACCTATAGCCTGCCTCTGGGTGGCCCGGACTGTCCTTCACTCCTGGCTCTGGGTTCCCACAACCCCTGGAGGAAGACAAGTGATTATCTTTGGGAAGACAGAACAAGGACATACATTTGCCTTTTTTTGTTTTTTTTTTTTTCATTCTTGGTTTGAGAACAGTGGAGTTCCAGTCAACTGTCATAGCTTTCAGGCAAGCGTGCCCGTGTTGTGTCCCATTCATTGTGAGTACATGCATATGGCAGAAACACAGAGGTTCCTACTGCAAGCTGGGCCTGATAGGCAAGGAGTCTCTAGCTTAACCCCAGCTCAGTGTCGGTCAATGACTTCCTCATTAAAATTGCATGGCCCCGTAGCTTTAGTGAGTGACATGATAGGTGTCGACATAAGGATGTTGAGAGGGATGCTCAGTGTCACTGCTCTTTAGTGTGCTAATGCACTACAGGGGCACCTGAGCCCTTGTCCATGCATTTCTGTGTCCAAAATCAGGTAAAATCAGAGTTGGGTATCAACCAGATATACTGCAGGGGACCAGAAGACATGGCCTTTGTGTACTGTACATCTGTCAGATTTTCTCAAGCACACCCATGTTTCCTCTTCACCTCCCAGGTGGCCGTGATGAATTGGCCAGGCCCATGTTGGTGAGGGACAATCATCATCTCGTGCTATTCTCAGAGATGCCAGGAAGCTCCTGGACACACATGGTGTAGGCTTCTTTGGAGGCTGTTGGATCCCCCCTGAATGTAAGCAGTTCCTTCCCAGTGCACCCTGATTTTCCTCATTTGCAGAAACAAAGATTGTGCATGGATCGATGATGACTTCCATATATACATTCCTTGGAAAGCTGAACAAAATGAGTGAAAACTCTATACCGTCATCGTCGTCGAACTGAGGTCCAGCACACTGCTCCATCAGGGGCTCAAGAGAGAGAGGAACAATGTCCATTTGTTGACACAGGCTGCACCAAGGCTTCGGATGCGGTCTTTTTCTGGCAAAGGAGAGTAGCTGGGAATTTTGGACATTTGTAACTAAGAGACAGCTTGGTTGCAGGCAGTCAGGTGTGTCCGCGATTTGTACCCTTGGGTCCCTTGACCTTCAGAGGAAGACTATTGCTTCCATGGTGGGGGACAGCCCAAGGTCATTCCTGGGCACCTCTTTCACTCACTTTCATCCTTGGCCAGGGACATAGGACTTCCCATGGTGTTTGGATAACATCAGGGGCAGGCAGTCCTCAGGAGGACGGCGATGCTGATTTGCTTTCTGCAGAGGAGCCCAGAGAGGGTATCCATGTTGAACTTGTATGTCCCTAGCAGGAAACCCAAACTGCATGGCCCCTGAAGGGTCCTGGTACTTAGAAGGGGAGAGAGGTGCACATGCATTTACCACAGTCTTCTGTCTGGGTCGTGGAGAGATGACTGTGAGCCTCTTTTGGGTGTTGTAGGGTTCATATGGTTTATTTATGATGACCTTGGGATGCTGGGATGGCAGTGTAATTGCGAATCCACATGTTCCCTCAACTCCACAGACTGACTCGGTTTGTCAGGTTTGTGTTCAGGCCCTCTGTGGAATGCTTGTCTCCGTTAAGAATTTGAGATGGGGCCGGGCGTGGTGGCTAATGCCTGTAATCGTAGCACTTTGGGAGGCCAAGGCGGGTGGATCACCTGAGGTCAGGAGTTCAAGACCAGCCTGGCTAACATGGCGAAACCCCATTTCTATTAAAAATAAAAAAATAAAAAAAATTAGCTGGGCCATTGGCGTGACGGGTGCTATAATCCCAGCTACTCGAGAGGCTGAGCAGGAGAATTGCTTTGGAACCCACGAGGGCAGAGGTGTGCCAATGAGCGCCAAGACCCAGCGCCACTTCGACTCCAGCTGGGCAAAAAAGCTGACACTGCCGCCGTCTCAAAAAAAAAAAAAAAAAAATTGAGGTTGATACCATGCCCAGTCACATGTTGCTGCCATACTGCTCGGCGGGGTTGTTTGCTCCCTGCTTGGTCCCGTGTATGATATTGGGGACATGCCCTTTCTCAGGAAAGGCTGATGTCGTTTTTCTCTGAATTGCTCACACACTTCGATGTGGCTCAGGTGCCTGGTGATATGTGTGTGAGCTCCCGTATCATGGTGACTTCTACTTAGAAAAGCAATCCAGCAAGGTCGCTGTGTTTCAATACCTCAGTGCCTCATGATGTTAGACTATTTTTAAATTCTTTCTAATTCTTCACAACAGACTTGTTTGTGAAATAATCATCATGTGGTAGGACAGGGCTCGTGTTCACAGACCAGTGATGGATAGGTTTTGGACTCCACGGTCATGTTTGCATGCAAGTGCCTTAAGATGTATGCTGTTCTCAGCCGCAGCACCTTAGAAGCCCTGTGGGATTCAGTGTGTCTGGTGCTTTTCTGGGTCCCTGGGCTGCACCTGTGAGAAAGACCCCGAGGTGGAGGTTGATTTGTGATTGAACATGTTTCTTGAATGTGAAGTGTGTTGACAGATCCTTGCAGTAAAAATGCTTCAAGGCTGAAGGAAAATTGCCCTCTGCACAGGAAGAGTTGTTGTTCCCTAAAACTCTCCGCATTCAGATATCTCTATGGTCTGTGTCTTCTCTGATAGCCAAGGGAAGGGCTTTTGAGTCAGGGCATCAAATGAGTGGTGTTAGGAGTTCTTCACCCTTAGTACTCTGTAACTTGATGGTGCCCTCAAAAGGTATGTGTGACTCAGACCTTCCTGCCTGGTGCTCCTGTGCACACATCCTCAAATGGGTATCCCGTGGGAAGTAGCGATAGGATATCCCACAGGGGGTTGAATGGCATGCCTGTCTTTCTCAAGCACACCCGTGTTGCCTCTGTACTTCCTAGGTGGTGTGGGCATGGAAGGAAGGCCAGTGGAGATAATGGATGATCTTGCTCTTAGAAGATCACTGGAGGTGGCAGGGAGTCCTAGGACACATGTGGCGTGGGCCCCTTCAGGTGCTGGTAAGTATCTGTTCCCCACAACCCCCTAATATTACTCCTTTGTGGACATGAAGACTGTGCATGGATCGATGATGACTTTCATACATGCATTCCTTGGAAAGCTGAACAAAATGAGTGAAAACTCTATACCGTCATCCTCGTCGAACTGAGGTCCAGCACATTGCTCTTACAGGGGCTGGAGTGAGGGCCAAGTTTCATTTGTTGCTGCAGGTTGCACCAAGGGGGTTGTCCAGTTGTACAAGGCGCTCCCTTTCTGCAAGGGGTAGTCACAGGGTTGTGGGATCTCTCATAAACAGGAAATTGTTTGAGGGACTTCTCTCTGCAAGGTAACACACACGCTGTCTGCGGGACTATGTGAATGTGGAGGTAGCATGGGAAGCCTTAGCCTGTCGGCGGCCTCTGGTGGCCATATTTGTCCTTGAGTCTTAGCTCTGGGTTCCATCATTCCCTTGAGGAAACACAGGTGTTTGTGCTTGGGAAGAGTGCACAACGCCACACCTTTGCTGTTTTTTCCACTCATTTTCATCATTGTTCAAGGACATTGCAGTTCTGGTTATATCCGTAAACAGGGAAGCCAAAGACAGGCAGATACCAGATATACCATAGGGGGCCGGATGACACGGCCCTCATGACCTCTGAATGTGTCTGCTTTTCTGAAGCACACTTGTGTTTCCTCTGCACCTCCCAGGTGGTGTTGGCATGAAAGGAAAGGAGGTATCTTCGAGGGACAATCTTCGCCTTGTGCGATCCTCGGAGATGCCACGAGGGCTCTGGACACATGTGGTGCGGGCTCCTTTGGAGGCTGTTGAATCCCTTCTGAATGTAAGTGTCCACTTTCCAAAGTCCTGATTTTCCTCATTTTCGGGCATGAATAATGTGCATGGATCGATGATGACTTCCATATACACATTCCTTGGAAAGCTGAACAAAATGAGTGAAAACTCTATACCGTCATCCTCGTCGAACTGAGGTCCAGCACACTGCTCATCAGGGGCTAGAGAGAGGGACAACATGCATTTGTTGACACGGGCTGCATCAATGCTTGGGATGGGGTCGTCTTTGGGTGAAGTGGAGTAGCTGGGCATTTTGGACTTCTGTGGCTGAGAGACAGCTTGGTTGAAGCGCTTCCCTCTGTGTGGCTGTGTGTGTCCTTGATTCATACTCCTTGGCTCCTGCCCTCCCCCGAGGAAGACAGTGGCTTCTGCATGGGGACATAGCACAGTGTTGTTCCCAGGCACTTCTTCGGCTCACTCTTATTCTAAGTCGGAGACATGGGAGTTCCCATGGTGTTTGGGTATCATCAAGGTCAGGCAGTCGTGAGGAGGGTGGCGATACTGATTTGCTTTCTGCAGAGGAGCCCAGATAGAGTATCCACATTGAACCTGTATGTCCATAGGAGGAAACCCAAATCTCATGGCCCCAGAAGCATGCTGGCAGTGGAAGGGGAGAGAGCTGTGCATGTGTGTATTGCACAGCCTTCTGTCTGGGTCACGGAGTGATGACTGTGAGTCTCTTTCGGGCATTGTAGGGTGCCCATGGTCCATTTCATGATGACCTCAGGGTGCTGGGATGGGAACGTCATTGTGGGTCCACGTGCTCCTGCATCTCTGCAGACGGACTTGTGGAAGGTCTGTGTTCAGGAACCTCTGTGGGAGGCTTTTCCTTGGTGCATTTGAGGTGCCTGATGATGAGTGTGTAGGTTTCCGTATCCTGGTGACTTGTACTCAGAAGTGTGACCCAGCAAGGTGTCTGTGCTTAAATACCTTAGTGGCTCGTGATGTTAGGTTATTTTCAAATTCCTCCTAGTTGTGTGTGACAATTCACACAAGTCTTTGTGAAATTGTCTTTGAATTATATGACAGGGCTAGTGTCCGTAGGCCAGTGATGGATAGGTTTTGGACTCCATAGCCATGTTCACAGCCAAGTGCCTTAAGATATTTGGTGTTCTCAGCCTTAGTGCCTCGGAAGCCCTGTAGGATTCAGCGTGTCTCATGCTCTTCTGAGTCCCCGAGCTGTACCCTGGAGGAAAACCATGAGGTAGAGGTTGATTTGTGATTGAGCATGTTTCTCAGTGGGAAGAGTGTCAAAGGAGCCTGGGGTGAAAGTATTTCAAGGCCAAAGGAAAATTACCCTTTGCTCAAGAAGAGGCTTTCCTTGAAACTGTCCTCATTGAAATAGCCTCATGGATTTCATCTCCTGTGATGGCCAAGAGCAGGACTTTTGATTCAGAGGTGGCAAATGAGTGGTGTTGAGAGAGTTTGTTATGCTTGGTGCTCTGTAGCTGGATGGAGCCCTCAAAATTTGTGTGTGCCTGATAGCTTCATGCCTGGTTACACCCATGCACATGTCCCAACAAGAGGGGCTGCCCGTGGGAGATACATACATGATACATCACAGTGGGATGAATGGCATGGCCCTTGCAACGTATGTACCTGCCTGCTGTTCTCAAGCACACCTGTTTTTCCTCTGAACTTTCCAGGTGGTGCGGGCATAGAAGGAAGGCCATGAAGGACAATCTTGGTCTTGGGAGATCCCTGGAATTGATAGGGAGCCCCTTGATATGTGTGGCATGGGCTCCTTCAGGTGCTAGCGGATTCCTTAGGATGGTAAGTGTCCATTTCTCAAAAGCTCCAGATATTCCTCCTCTGCAGGGACAAAGACTGTGCATGGATCGATGATGACTTCCATATATACATTCCTTGGAAAGGCACATTACTCCAGCAGGAACTAGACAGACAGGGCCAACATCCGTTTGTTGACATGGGTTATACCAAGGGGTCTGTTCAGGCTTAGGATGGGGTCTTTTATGGGTGAGTGGGGTCACAGGAGAGTGGTGGCTCCCACGCATAGGAAATTTCTTGTTTGAAGGACTTTGTCAGTGAGCGTGGGTAGTCTGAAGGACTTCTTTCTCCCTGGGCGGGATAACTAACGTACTGTCTGAAGGACTAGGTGAATGGGAGGTGGCATGGGAAGAGTTTGTGTGTAGCCTGCCTCTGGTGGCCAAGTTTGTTCTTGAGTCCAAGCTCTGGATTCCCAGAGGAAGACAGATCCTCTGGTTGTGGGGAGAGCACAAGGCTACACCATTCTCATTTGTTAGCTCATTTTGTCCTTGGAGGCGGACGTTGTATTTCCAGGCACCCAGCGTAGCCTCTTAGCCGCATGTCCATGTCATATCCCGTATGTTATGAGGATTTGTGTGTTGCCAGATCAGGCAGTCTTCTGCTCCAAGCTGGGGCTGTCAGGCAAGGAGTCTCTGGGTTATTCCAAACCTGACCTAGGTCAGTGTCTTCCTCTTTCGGGGTTCGTGGTCGCAAGGCTTTTGTGAGCGCCATTGCAGGTGTTGAAGCAATGATGTTGAGAGGTATGCTCAACGTCAGTGCTCTGTAGCGGGATGGTGCACTGCAGGGGCCTCCAGCCCCGAGATGGGCATCTCCGTGTCCATGCATTTCTGCGTCCATGAACAGGGGAGGCCAGAGACAGGCAAATAGCAGATGTATCACAGGGCACTGGATAACATGGTCCTGTGACTTGTGCACCTGTCTGCCTTTCTGAAGCACGCCTGTGTTTCCTCTGCACTTCGCAGGTGGCGTTGGCATAAAAGGCAGGCTTGTATCATGGGGAATGTTGTCATCTCGTATGATCCTTGGAATGGCAGGAAGCCCCTGGACACACATGGTGTGGATCTCCTTCAGGAGGCCTGTTGAAAC